TATTTTCAGCCTGTTTTAGTGATCTCACTGTTAGAGTTCTTCCAATAACCGCATGGACTTGAAATAACTGGCGCCTCCCACGTGCTGGGCAGCAGAGTCCATCCCCAGCACTTCCAGTGGAGCAAATGCTTTGTTATTTAAGTTTTTTTGGCTTGGAAAATCATCACGTACCTGCGGTGATAGGTCACGTGTCCCTCCTTGAAGTCGAACTTGTGGAGGAGCGCTTGGCCATCAAAGAGGTGATAGAAGGGCTCTGCGCCCACCTCGAACAAGCCAGGACCACATCTCAAGAGGCTTCCACGCAGCCAGGTGGGGATCCTACCTGCAGAAGATGCAGCATTGGTACTCTGGCTTCTGGTGACCCACAAGCTCCTGAGAACAAGGTCTGGGCAGAAGGCAATCACCAACCTGTGACATGGGCGGTCACCGGTGAGGACAGCTCCTCCACGGTCTCAAAGAGCTTCTTGTAGCCTCCAGCAGGATGCTCAACTCTGAAAGAGGCAGCAGAGCTGGGGTTAGACTGGTTTTGGGATGGCTTTGGAGGTTTTGTTTCTGGGTACTGACAGGACAAGGGACAACGGCTTTAAGCTGGAAAGGGGGAGATTTAGAACAGATATTAGGAAGAAATTTTTCATTCCCCATGGGGGGTTAGACTGGGAGGGTTTTGAGGTCCCATTCCACCCAAACCATGCTGTGAGTCAATGGATGGGCTGATCTGCTACTTGCAAATAACTTGAGAGGTTGGGAAGAAGCAGCACCAGCTTTTATGGGGAGGAAAGGCTTTGAGGGCTCTGCCCAGCTACTGCAGCCACCTTTGAACCATCTGAAGCATGTGGAAGAATAGGAAACACCTTTACTCAACAGACAAATTCAGGGTATCCCAAAACATCAGGAAGCAAAATCCAACATATATCTCCTAGCTATTGGATAAGCAATTTTAAAAATCCTTTTTATTTTGAGCAAAGTGTACTTGAGCATGCAGCTGAGAATTATTTGTTAGATTCCCAAAGCTCCAGAGCCTGTGAAATCTCACCAGGTGCAGGCTGTGTGGGGCACTGTCCTTCCCCTCCAAAGCATGGACCATCTGCTGGTACCCAGAGATGAGCCTGTCCCCCTGGACCAGAATCACGCCTTGGCACAGGATGCACCAGCATGGACCCCCATACACAGAGACCCCCTTGGCTCTGAACTGCACTGGCCTCCAACCTCCCAGCAACCCCCTCAGCCAACGCCACACAGTGATGACTTGCTTCTATAGAGAGAAGTATCAGGGATACTCACTGGCTGTACATCTTCTCCCCGAGGAAGGACCAGAGCCTTCGTCAGCCAAACATGCAGCGAGATCCGTGTGCTGGGTATTTATGGGGCGCTGAGCCCTGCCGAGGGGAGTCCCATGCCCAAAACCGCCCCTGCCAATGAGCACACCCTGGGAACACAGCAGGCTTTCACCACCAAAATCCTCCCTGAGCTTTGAGAGGTTTTGTCTTGCCGTTCACACAAAAAAGGGCTTTGAGTGTTTTTCTGAGACCTACATTCTTCCCAAGCAGAAGTGATTACAAAGAAAAAAAGAAAATAAACCAAAAACAAACCAGAAAGGAGTGAAATGGAGCGTGCTGGAGTCACGTTGGGAGCTTGGCACAGCCACTCGGCTCTTCCCCGGCCCCCGGCACTGCAGGGAGACCTCCCCAGCTCCAACACACACTGACGGCAGCAAGAAACTGTGCTCTGCTGCAAAGGGATCTCCATCCCATGTATCAGAGCGCTCCTCAAACCTGCAAAACAAGATCAGTCTTCACCTAGAAGTGGCATCACATTAGAAATACTAAGAAATAAGATGTCAGCATCATATATTATCATTTCTACATCCTGCACACATCAGCCACTGCCTTTTTCCTCTGCGCTTCTGCAGAAGACTTTCATTGCAAGCTTCACCACGTTGGTACAAGTAGAACAAGACCAAATCACTGCCCACCAGGCAGGAGGGCACCAGGAAGCATCCTCATCTGGGACTTGGTTTAGTGGCCATGGGGGTTTGGGGTAGACAGTTGGAGTTGATGATCTTAGAGGGCTTCTCCAACCTTAATAATTCTGTGATTCATCCACGATGGCTGCTCTTGCTGTCACTGTACATCACTGTCTGCTCTTCCCCTCTCCCCTCCTTGCTTCACTTCAGCAGGTTTCAACAGTGGCAGATGCCGGCAGCTCCTCTTGCTGCAAAAGGCAGATTTCTTAAGTCTAACACACAAAGTTGTATTTTCACACAGGGTGTTAACAGTCCTCAGAAAGGCATCAAACCTGACCAACATTTATTTTACACACAGCACAGTTACTGTCAGAGATGGCCCGAAGATCACGTTAAGAAACCATCTCTGGTAAGAGTAGACATGAAAACAAAGGTGCTGTAAAGAGTAATTTCCAAGATTAACAAGATTAGAGCGATTACTGCTCCCCCCTCATGGGTAGCCCATGGTACAGGATGAAGTAAGTTCATAACTCCATGTACCTTCAAGACCTCCTCCCATATAAACAGAAGCTGGACTCCAGTGTTAAAACTGTGGTGAAAGAAAAAAATTAGACATTAAACACCCCCATGTTCAATCTGCTACTACAACCATTAAGTGAAAGGTTGGCTTTTTTCTCTTGTGTCTGTCTTTCCTTCTTTCTTTCTTTCTTTCTTTCTCTCTTTCTCCTCTTTACAGGACTGTTTTAGGACTGAGGGATCATTTAAGGCTTCTAACTGAAAAACAAGATACCAAGTTGAACCTTCATGAGCTCTTTGATTGATGCCTCCCATTAACCCTTAAACACCCATAATTCTATGGTAATTTGCCTGTGGAAGCATCCTAGTAATAAATACATCTAATATAAGCCTGAGAGCAAACTCAAGGTCTCTCAGCAGTACAGATAACACAGAAATTTTTAATTGTCCCTAGGATAAGGACTTAAACCAGCATTCTCATCTTTGATGTCATGAAAATTCAGTTTCCATGGTGACAACATCTTACCAGGCCCCAGCCTCCTCCAGTGGCTCAGGAGGCAGAGACCCAAAAATTTCCCTGGCCCCACAGAGCAGCAGCCAAGTTCTCCTCCTTACCAGCACTGAACACCATCCAGCCCTGCAGATTCGGTAGAAAGAGTTAGAAGGATGGCCACCACATCCAGCCCAGATGGCATCTGCCTGCCAGGACCCTGGGCCAGAAGCAAGGAGCCACATCAGATGCTCGGGCTTTTATGAAGAGAAGAAAAAAAAATAAAATAAATAAAAGGTTCCAGGAAATAAATTTAACACAAGAGAAAGCAACAGCTCAAAGAAAATTTTATATTAAATTTAAATTTGTACCTGTCATCCATTTGAAATGTTTGAATTGTCCCATAGCTGGTCAATTTTTCTATTTATTCACATGTTTTGCTAAGTTCTGTCAAAACCTCAGAAAGGAACATTAAATAACCTGGATCAAACTCTGCACAATGAGGCCAGTCCTTTGAAAGCTAAATCCCATGAAATGTGAGCTTCTTGTCTAATAAGTTGCTTAACTGGAGCACAGAAATAAATAAAGGATTTATGCAACACTTACAAAGTAGAGCATAATTAGGAGCAAGTTTAGGCAGGTACAAGATTTTCAGAAGTAGCTGAATACAAGTGTTACAGCAGACAAACATCTGCCACCTGCTGCACAAGCATGAAGTTATTTGCAGGACATTAAAGTGTTACTAACACAGGTTACAACTGAATAATCTGGGTTTCTGTGACAAAGCCTTCCTCCTTATCAGGAAAATAGCAAAATGAGCTGTTGTGAAATTGGTGTGCCAGTTTTGCCACAGTTATCTGACAATAAATTTCTGCACCACTCCCTTGCCTCTGGAAAGCTCACGTAAGACTAATGTGGTGTGTGTATATATATATATATATATATATAATTGTGTGCATAAATATATTTTATTTTTATATACATATAAAGTATCAGATGCAGAATAGAAAAGTGGTTTTGCCTTATTTTTCTACAGGAGAGAACAAGCTGAAAGAACTGAAGCGCAGTCTCATGGGTGCAGACTGCAGCAGTTACTCACTATGGTGTGAGATATAAAAGTGACAATCCTCAACTCAGCCCCTCATTAACATGCCTGGAGCAGATCTGTCTTAATACTAAGCTGGGATCTCCTTTATGAAAACACTTTGAATTGTTCTCTCACAGAAATACTCACACAGATTTATATTCTTGTGGGGACCCTTGGCCCTGTCAGAATTAATAAAGGAAACCCTTAACTCTGGAAACAAAACAGGGAAATTCAGTATATTCTGATTCTACTTTTCACTTCATATATAATCCATAATTTCTATTTTTTTGAGAAGTACAAGTCTTCCACAAAAATGCCAGAAATATACCTAAGAATTTTAATATAAATAAATATAGAAAGGGTTATGTGAATTTTACAGATGAGATGAACAAAAGTATTTTACAGAGTCAGATAATCATTTATTTATGGTGAATTTCTGCCCCCCTTGGAAACAACAGAACCAACTTTTAAATTAGTCCCAAATGCAAAGAACACGGCTTTGTTTGAAGACAAATATTTTGAGAATACAAGGCAGGCACTTATTCACAACACAGAAACACTTAAAAACCTACACAAGCGATAGGAAAAGGCACAAATTCCTGAACAGACATTAAAGAAGTTACAATAATAAGCATACCATTATGAGAACCATAGGTAAGTTTTTGGTTACTAATAGCTTCATGCTATTTTCACATTTATTTTACTGAGAACAATATATTGTAATAATTTGTAAACAGATAAATATTTATTTCTCTCTTAGCAGTTATTTAGACGTTATCTTCATTAAAAAAAGTTAATTTGGCACCTTCCAACATAGTGTCCATGTAAACATTTCTTCTTTCTACACACACAGAGCCACCATCAAATTTCCATAGCAAGTGCCCTTTGGTAAATCATTCATCCACCCATCCATCAAATAAATAAGAGGTTGAAGTGTGGTTAAATTAGTATCTTAGGCTACGAAATCTTGGTTTTCTTAGACTAAGCATTGGCTGTTTGATGGTAGGTTTGTTCTCAAATAGCATCGCTTCGTTTTCCGTAGTTGGAAATCTGTTCTGGTAGATGAGAGGGTATTCCTTCTGAAACTAGAAAAAAACAGCAAGGCAAAAATAAAAACATCACACTCCACCAAATACTCCAGCTGTGCAGGGCTTGAGCACAAACCACTGCTCAGCAGCAAAGGTGCAGGACCATCAGCATGTAAAGTAACTGCTGTGACACCTGACCAAAGCTGTGCTTACGAGTTCACAACTGATAAATGAGTCAAGTAGAAATTTTGTCAAGCACTTCATCTTGTCTGCAGTTGCTCACCAGCTGAGTAAGAGCATTGCTGTGTATTTGAAGAGTACGACCAGCTAGAAGCCATGCTGCCTGCCAGCAGTGAAATCTATTTTCTGTTTCAGCTTGGAAAGCTGTCTTTCAGAAGTCACAGTGATAAATGTGTTTTACCTAAACGGAAGCTAAGATTCAGTAGATTTTGAAGGTACTCTCTCTCAGGAGAGCTTACTACTTAACCAAGTGAGTTATTTTTCAATTTCTGCAGATATACAACTAAACAGAAATATCTGGCTTCAGAGACGTGTATTTGACATTGTGCCTGTTTCCCATGTAAGGCCTTGGGAAGGAAGGAATATTGGTACATACATTTACACATCAGGCAAAGCCTTCTGCTGATTGATTCATCCTATGGAAAATGATACCATTGGTAACTTCTGGTGTTGATACAAGTTGGACTTAAACCCTCTAGTAAGTGCCATGGATTTGGCTTTGCCCAATTTAAAGTATCAAACCCAAATAATTGCTCCAAAAAGTTGTGTTTTATCACACTAGCTATTCCAGCACAAATTGCAAGACTGCAATGATATAGCTCTGTGGATTTTAAAAATAAGTCTGGCTAACACGCAGCTGTCACAGTACAAACCGTTTCTGGACTTTGGTAGGAACTCATCAAAAATTTAGGTATGTTTTCCAAGTTTTACTATTGGAGGATTTTAATTTATTTCCTTCCTCCCCACTTCACCTGCTGAAAGTGCTGCTATGTATCACTTCTTACCACTTGGCTTACTCTAAGTTTTAATTGACTATAATTAATTACTCTTCTTTACACACACAGTTTCAATGAACATGAACCAAAGTCCAGCCTTCACTTTTACAGGACCAGAATGTTTTCACCACACATATGAAAGTCAGTGTTGCAGAAACTGGGGAACAGACACCAAAAAGAAAGAAATGTGCCTGCTCTGAAAAGCTGCTTTTTCAAATTTGAGTCACAAGACCTGCTTAGGAGATTCTAGGACAAGTACAATACTATTCAATTGGTCATTAATACTTGCCAAAGGTTTTCTGAAAAAGAAAAAACCCTCCTGTATTAAACCCTGCCAGAATTGCTGTATTTTAGCTTTAGTATTAGGCAGTATGTTAGTAGGCCATAGAAGTGACAGATAATCTTGAGCAATATACACGTCACAAAACGCAAAGCTAAGTCCAGAGGAAAGAACATTTCAGAACTGTGAACACAGCTCATTGCCTATTGCTTTTATGCCCATCTATAGCCTTTTAATGGTAAACTTGCATAGTCAGCACACCACAAGAAACCATGCTGTAATTTTATTGCATGTTGTGTAACAGAGAGCAGTATCTTAGAATAATTTTATACTTGTTTTAAATCATGGTTTGAACACCACTGTTGCCAGACAGTAGCAGATGCTGTATTGGACGCCGTCTTTAAAATCCCAATCAAATAATACAATTAAAACACATTAAGCAGCTCTCTCTTATAAAATAAGCACTTCCGTGTATACAGTCTGCTCTTGTTCTGTACCAGGGTCAAGCGATCATGATCCTTTCCTTGCAAAGGCATCTGCAGAAGTAGATGAAATATCCACCGAGTTTCTTACCTGTTTTAATTTTCTCTTTTTGTCTTTCACAGACAGGTTTTTATCTTTGATAATGTTCTCCAAGAGCTCTGCCACTGCAGCTTGAGAGGTAGAAACCTTTTGTTCTTCAAACTCCTGAGGAGTTATTTGTTTGCAGTATGAATATGTTGGCAAGATGGCACAGATTTCTTCCTTTGGATATTTACACTGAAAGAAAAGTTGAAGATGAGGTCTTCATACACTCAAATGATTACATCCTATTTCAGAACTCTCAGAAGTAACAGATACTCTGCAATTAGCAAATGAACTTCAGCTCCTAACACACCACCAACCTGAGTCATCTTCACATACTCTATGTGATCTCGCACTGCGACCTGCAGGTAAGTTGGTACTTTAAATATTTCTTGTTGATGGTCCATTAGAAATGAAACCAATCGCGTAGAAAGCAGCTCGTCAAGATCGACTTCTTCTGAACAGCACAGCACGCACCGAGAAAACGTCTGTATCATCTGGAAGTGTTTAGCAGAGCATTAGTACATACGGCTGAGGGATTTACCTTCTTTCCCGTCTACACACAAGTTCTCCAGTACCAACTTGCACTGCAACCTCTTGCCTGCACCACTGGTCAAGAGAGAAGGAAAACTGATTATAATTTTTTCCTCACCTTAAATAAAGTAACTTTTATAACATTAGACTTGTACTTTTTAAAATTGAACAGTACCTTCAATTAAGACAGACATATTATAATGAGGTAATAATAAGGAAAAGTATTTCTCTGTAGAAAAGTGTACATCATCAATTAACCATCTTGAGACAAGTGAGATGATTAAGAAAAACCCTGCAGAGCCAACCTAACCAAGATCTAATACACACCAAGATCCAGTTTTAAATAGCTTTAAACCACAGTTTTACAGCTTTCGTATTTCCAGCTTTTAGTAGGCTTATTTGAAATTAGCATGCTTAGGCACTGTGTTGTTTCATTTAATGTTGTTTGACAAAAATCTTCAGTCATTCCAATGAAAGCTTAAATTCAGACCTCAAAGCTCATCTTTAAACTCACTAGGCAGAAAATTTACTTCTTTGCAACTGCTTTTGTCATTACTTCACATATGCAAATGTTTAGCCCAAGAAAGGATTTCTACAAACACCCTGCCAACACCTTTTAAGTTAAACGGCAGTTGGGTAAGAAATCAGACTGAATAATCATTTGCATTCTTTTAAGAAACTATTTTTCTTCTCCCAGAAGTAAACAAAAACCCCACCAATATTGGAAATATATTAGAATGGAGACATGAAAGTGCTTTCTTCAAGTCAGTTTTTTGTAAATATTCTGGAGACTAAAATTCTTCCTGTTAATCACCATTTAATTGCAATGAGACAAGAGCCTCAAAGAAAGAACGCTGCTGGTATTCCCAGCATTACTCCAGCCACGTTTTTAAAACACTAGAGATGCTGGACTCAGGATTCTCTTACCAAAGAGCGGGTTCCCATTGCGTCATGCAGCCGTGGCATATCAACGTTTTCACTGATCCGAGAGATCATTCGCATCAGGAGCTGAATCTTTCTGCGATTCGGTGGTGGAAGCAGCAAACAGCATATCTGTAGTGCTTCAACAGCAATTCTTTCTAAATGAGGCTGCAGGAGATCTACAAGTTAATTGTAAAGACAACTGTCAGTGACATTTGAACCAACTTTCAGGATATTTTTATCTTCATAAAACAAATTTCATTTTTTTGGAATGACGATAGTCTATGTTTCATAGAAATCATCCATAACATAGCAGATCATGTTATGCAGCCTTTTTTTTGTGTGGCCATCTTCAGCTTGCTTCATCATGATGAACTGCTGGTACAATTAAGACCATAGACAACTAAGAAGTGGCACTAATGTTATTCCCAGAAGATGTGTTTCAAAAAAGACATCTCCTCCAACAGGCAGGACTGTGCAAATTTCCTGCCTCACTCTTAGACAGCATATAAGCCAGAACAACATCACTTACCTGTACAGAGAGGTGAATTACTGACACATCAGGCTTAAGACTCTAAAGATACTACTCACTACTACTTGGTAGCAGAAGTATGAAAGGCTACCTTTAAACAGCATAATGTACCAAACAGATTTTTATTTTTTTAAAAACCAAACAACCCACAGATCATGTTATTTGCATATCAAAAAACCTAGTAACAGCACCAAAGATTAAGGAAGCAGAGATTAGTTAGTCAACACAACAAGCCAGCACAACATGCTTTAGAAAGCCATCTTACTTTGCGTGCCAGTCAACATACAAGAAGAGTGAGTGACAAAGGACTCTGAGAGATCTGCGGTACTTTTGCAGAGTCTCTTACTGACGGTGACATCAGAAACCACAGTCCCGATGTCCACTGAAGTCGCCACACCACACGTATTTGGTTTGCCTTGCCCAGAAAGTTGAGACCTTGGCTTTACTGTGATTTCAGCAACTGGTACATTAATGCTAGTGCAACTTTTGGAGTTCCTCTTGCCAAGTAAACTCAGAGATCTGCATAGTTGTTTTGGTCCGTGATTTTCATTAAAGAGCTTTTTATCCTGAGGAGTTGAGGCAGACACTCTCTTGAGACCATGGGTTTGGTTTTGACATGCGCTATCGGAACCAAGCTCCAACACAGAATTAGCTTTATCATCATATTGTGGAGAATGTTTCCCATTTCTTGTGCCTGGGATGGTGTTCACATCACTTTGCCTGAGGGAATTGGGTTCTCCTTTATTACATGCACTTGATGGAGTATCTCCAATTCTTTCCAAAGAGTAACACCTTGTCCTGAATTTTAGAGGTGGATGTTGTTCATTCCTGAAACCTGAAAGATTTTGACAACTTCCTCCTATTCGATTGTCAGCACTGCCTTGTTTACAAGTCAGTTCACGTTGTTGCAATTTCTTTGCACATTGTTTTTGAATCATTAGCTCTTCTGAAGAGGACTTCCTCGAAGCTTCATATTCTTTCTTTTTTTTGTCAGGCTCTTTGTGAAGAAGGCTTAGAAGAAGACATTCAGTTGACTTGAAAGAATTCAAGGGAAGAATTTTTGAAGGTTGCGGGTCACATTTCTCATCTTGGACGGAATGTTTTCCACTGCTTTTATCTGGAATTGTGACGTAGCCACACAGAACTATCAGAAAATGAAATATAAATTAAGATGCAAGTGGTATGAAAATTAACAAGTTCAGAAAGAAATAAAGTTGGTAATTGAAGCGAGAAGACAACAGACACTAATTTATAGCTGATTCCGTTAGTAAAATTAAGAAAAATTTAGCTCAGTCCAGTAGCAATCTAACAAGATAATTGCAACCATCATGCAAGAACAAAGAAAGTTAACACGCTGCAATAGTGAGGAATAGACAAGAACGAGCACATATTATAAAATTATGGTTACTGCGTATTTAGAGTGTAGTTCAGACAGCATTTTTATAGTATATGAGAGAACTGCATCTCAATTAATCTTTTAATACAGAACGATAGCATTGTTGACCTTCCTCAGATTCAAGCTGCCATACAGATCAGGGGGTCAGGGTCTGCTTTGAATTACAGATTTGTTCCCCAGTTGACATAAACTCATAGCTTGCACTGATTATTTCTGAATTCATACATACCTAAAATATTAACAAAAAGTTCATAGTATTCAAAAGTAAGTAACGGTTCAGGAAGATTGAGAAAGTAATCAGCAACCGTTCTGAACACATCACGTTCAAACCCACTGTATGTTGGTTGGCTCATGTCATTATTTCTAGGCCCTAAAAAGAGGTGAAGAAAGAAAATTCACAGAAGTAATTACTCTCACAATTCCATTATTAAAAAACTTAAATTAAAAGACAACCTAAGTTTGTTCTCATAGGAATGACTGTTTCACAAGAAAATAATTACATCAGTAAAAGATAGCCGTTAACTTTTTCGTGGCCTCAGACAGCGCTTACACTGAAAGCTTACAGAGTTTAATTAATTCTCCTGTACATTTAATGGATTAAGGAACACTGAAGTCCCTCTTTTCCACACATTTAATCTGTTCACACAGACAAAAATTCATATGCAGAATCAGACAATGCGGCCTGAAAGCAGGATAACCAGCTAGACCACTTAAGGACTGATATCTGGATTACCTGAAATATAACATCTTTATCATGCATTAACTCTTTCAGGTTCCACTTCTGTGCAGTAATATGATACGGATTGCTGTCATTGCTTCTTAGCAATCAAGGCACTTAGACCATTCGAATTCTCAAAACGAAACATCACAATTGACGTTACCATGCAAGTATACTTCACTCTCAACTCTCAGAATAGGTTTCTGAAACTTAAAAGCTATTCAGTGACTTACAGTATGCCAGGCATTTCATAGCTGACAACACCCAGTGAGGGAGGTCTTCTAAAATAAACAAACAAATATATTATTTATACATAAGCCCAAAGACTTGATAACTAAAACAAATAATGGCACACATGTAAAATATAAAAGATCAATTTTAAAACTAATTTAAAATATTGCCAAATACGTGTAACTTAAAGTGAATGCAATACACCTATAATACTTTCTAGAAAAATATACTGTACTGTACTCTCATTTGGGAAAACAGTGTAAAAGACAGACCATGAAACATATTACTTTAATTATTAATTATTGTTTGTTGCAATTGCACCTTATAGATTCTTTAAGATTTTTTTTTTCTGGTGTTGCTTACCTGATTTGTTCTGCAAAATCACAACACCATGTTTGCTGGTGTTAGTCATGTTGTAAATGACATACTCAGGAACTATCTGTGCTGGCTGCAAAACTTCTTCCAAAGATAGGAGACCTAAAATGGTTTGCAAACTGCGGGGAGTAAGAAAGCAGATGTTTTCTAAAATGGTTGCTAGTAATGAATGAAAACCAGTTCTTTTCATATCTATTCAAAGACCAGTTACTTGATGAGCTAGTTCGCTGTTTAATAAATTCTCACTTCCAGAAGGACAATTCAAGGATGCATTTTTTTCCTGGCACAAATGCCAAAAACCGGTAAGGAAGACCATCTATGGTACTTAAAATATACTTCAACACTAGCAACAATAAATTTCTTAAATGCAACAAACCAGTGTTAATAAATACAATAGAAAACAGATGCAAACAGTAGTTAGTAAAAAATATTCAACTTAATGCATAATTTTAAAAAATTCAAAAAAATTTGCAAGTCAAAGGCTTGATCGGGCCATACCCATAGCACATACAGAGAAGGTGCTTTTTACAATGTATTACTTACTGTATTAGAATGATATTTCTCCAAGTTTCTTGCACATATTCCTGGCTTATTTCCTTCCTTTCATGTGTGTCTTCCTTGTTTTCCTCTATTACGTCTGGGTTTGTTTTTTCTAAATTTTCCTGAAAATGAGTGGTTTATACCATAAGATAAACAAGCTTCTTAAGACAATTCAAAATTAAGTAAAAATTCTTCGCAAAAGTATAGGGTATTCTGCAGAACATTAAATTCTAAAACATGATCCAGGAAATAAAAACTTAACAGTCTCAGCACTGAAATGCAAGCCCAACCAACTAAAAAGCAATAGAAGACACTGTGAGGAAAGACTTGATTGACTCAGAAGTCAGCAGTTTACACACCAGATCCAAATGTATTAATAAGTGAAGCGTTTTCCTTTGGGACTGCAATCTAAATTCAGAAAGTATGCGCACACACAAAAATCAAGAGAGTAATGGGCCAGACACATTCAATTATTTTCAAAAAATAAGCTGAACAGTTTAATAATTTGTGCCTTTTATTTGTCCTAAACAAAAAAAAATACATTAAGTTTCAACACGGACCTATTCTCCACATAATTTCTAGAACTCCACCTGCCAGCCCTCCCAATACTTCAAAATACTGTAGCAGGGATAATTCCACACTGAAGGAGACAAAATAACAAAGAATCCAAAAGAAAACCAAACCCCTCTCACATTGATGGCCCAAGATGCTCAATTGCTTACATATATAGTACACAATTAAATCTCCATTTAATGTCAGACCATATTGACACAAAATTAGCCCTGCACTGCAAGTGTGATGACCTTTCTTTCCGATTAAGTAACCTGGTTGCATTAATAACACTTCACTGCCATGCCGCTCTTCACATCAAACTATTGCCAAAGTTCAGAGAAAACAGCTTCATATAGTACTTTTAACTTCTTCTCTCAAATGCATAACCCCTTTCACTTGCTGCCAGCATTTCAAAAATGCCATGTTACACTTGGAGCTATAATTTTGCATGTATGCATTGTGTTTGGTATTTATAGGTTATTTAACAAAATCTCCTCTTGTACACTGAATAAGAGAAACAGCACACATCACGAAAACACTTACTCATAAAATATAGCTGTTATCTTTCCATTATACCTATAGAAATATTCTATTTCACTGTCCAGAAGAACCTACCAATTTATTTCTTAAGCTAGAGGGAAGATGACACAACAGAACAGTGCTGCTAAAAGGTGATCGCTTCTAGTTTGTTTTGTTTTGTGGGTTTTTTGTTTTGTTTTGTTTTTAAATAAAGAAAATACATGGCAACTGTAATTATGTAAGAAACAGAAGTTATTACCAACGGCTGTAGTATCTCATGGTTTTTAACAGTTCTCCGGGATAAATGTGGCAGCTTAAAAAGTCTTTCTTTGTCTCGAGAGAAGTTTTCCAAGTTCTCTTTTGGTAGACATGAGCTTGGTAAGGGTTTAACTGGAGATGTTGAAGGAAATCTGTAATGAATAGGAGACGTTAAACACAATTAGAATAGATTAAAAATATAAATCACTTAACCAAAGCATACCCTATCAGCGTAATTCCGTAAGATACTGAAAAGATTCAAGAAAGGAAAAATTTTCTCTTTAGAACACTGACCTTATACTACAAATAATCTTTGGGCTACTTTTCTTGATTTCGAAGTCAAGTTGAAGATACTAAGATATTTATACAGCATTGAGAGCAGAATTTGAGAAGTGAGGGCCATTGATTTCTTTAATTTTAGCACTTAGGGTAGGGTCTGGTTCCCACTTAGATTGGGACAAGTACAAGAGAAGCAAACAGGACTGGTAGCACAGCACACAGCTGCTACAATTAATTCTCCTTGGCTCCCCTCCAAAGCACTTGAGAGCAGCACCCATGCCGGGGAGAAACTTGGCTGAACAAAAGCATGGACACAGCCCTTAGCACACACAATGCATTGTCTACGCTGCAAGTCAGAGTGGAGTAAAATGGTACTAATAACTGATTTTTGTCCCAGCTGGTGAACCCAAAGCAAGATATTTTTGAGAATCTGGGCATTAAGATTTTAAAATAAAGTTCTCAGCCTGAAAAGCTCTGTTAACTAGTCATTTCAGTACCTGTATAATGCACCATTGTCTTCTAAATTTTCAGAGCCCCACCTCCCTTTGATATCTTCAATTACATGATTCTTGAGAAACTTTCTTAATAACTGAACAGTCTGGTGCCTGGTGACTTCAGGACCAAAGTTACTGTTACTCCTTAATACTTCATGGAGCCAGTCTACAGCTTCCGACGCAGTGAAACAGTTTCCGTGTTTCTTGAAATGCTGCCTGTGTTTCCTTAATGGCATCCCTGCTCGGAAATATTTTGTAATTTCATTCCACTGCACGGGAAACAAAACAGCAAAGAATGCAAGATTAAAGCCTGAAGTTGATCCTTGTAAGTATCAATTAATAATAAGCATATAAATGAAACCACAACATTAATATTAACCAATATTGACAGTTTTACTAAATAATTGAGTACTATTCATATATAAACATTAAATTTAAAAAATATGTAAACATTTCACTTAGGATTTTATCTCATTCTTCTAAAACTGAAAATAAGCTTAGAGCTTCACAAACATAACAAGTTTTATTGGCTCAGCCTGCACATGCTCAGCATTTACATCAACTCAGTTTCCTGAGGTGCTGTCAAACCACAGCTCCCAAATTTGGAGCAGCTCTCTGAATTGAGATGAAACCAGCTGCCAGAGCACTTAAATACCAGTTTTAAATTTAAAGGTATTTTCTTCCTTTCCTATTTATTGGCACAAAACCAGATGACATTCTATAATTAGTAGGCTCCTCTAAGCTGTCACCCAATTTTGGAGAAGCAAGGCGCTGTCACCACCACAGGCCCTTCCCAAGGAGTGTGGCTGGGTCCCTTCCACTACATGACAGCGGGCACGGGTGGCACAGAGCCA